AATTCTTCAAAATCATATGTAAGTTTTGAATATTTTTAGAATCCACAGAGCTAAAAAGAATTTGAACTACCGAGGGGTGATCAAAAATTTCGCGAACTAATTGAATAACTTCGGTAAAAGAAATGATATGGGGTTTCAGTGTTGAAAATGTTTCAGAGTAGTCCTTTCCTATTTTAATGCGCATCTCCAATCATTTTGCCCATTCGTGGATCACGTGATATAGGCGATTACGTGACATGCTCTTTAGCGTTCTGTCACAGAAGCTTAACATTTTTTCGGACTTTTATACCTCTTACCATGCAAGTTATTTTTGGCAATAAAAATAGTACATTTGTCAGAAACGAAACCCAAGTCCTCTGTCTTTTGAGCGTTATTTATTTCATGTGGATAAAGTATTGGTGCCTTCACTTTATCATATCTGATATATTTATAGTAAAAAAATATTTTAGGCATTTCATAACTATATTATTGTAAAGATGTTCATTTATTTTTCTAACTGTAAGTTAATGATCTTCAAATAAAATTGCTAAACAAAGGACACGTCTCTCTCCCAGTTTGCTTTTACCGGGCAAAAGAACAAACATCATTTTTTAAACATTTCCCTTCCTTTACTTAAACAATCAATCCAATTAATAGCAAAATTTATGGCAAGTCTTTTGTCTTCATAAACCGTGTACAAATTATTATAAACTGCTACACAGGAGTTTAAAAGATTATATAATTAACTTTACAGCCTTTCGTTTCTCGACTACGACTGAGTCAACTTTTTTTTGTCGCAATTGAACTACGTTATGGCGTCATTTTCACACCGTGACGTCACAAACGTACCATTATATATTTTATTTTTAGAATATGTGTATGACTCTATATGTGCCAAATTTCATTCTGATCTGTAAATATAGAGAAAGTTCGCGAACTTTTTGATCACCCCTCGTATATTGGATTCCGAAACTTCAAAAGAGACCTTACAAACAAAGATACATTGCGGGTTCCAGTAAATGTTCAACCAAGCCTCTTTCGTTACTCCTCACTAAGATATTGACAGTAGTGAAGGAAAAACTTCAAGAGTACTGTGCAACTATACATTCAAGAGGTGGTGTGAATCAGATGTTGATACTAAAAAATTCCAAAGAAATTTTGGACAATTTGAAGTCACAAGATTTTACCAAAACCAACAGCTTAAAAACTTACAACTTTTCAACTTTATACACAACAATTCCCCACGATAAATTAAAATCCAAGCTTTTTGATATCATTGACAGATACTTTTTCAATAAAAATGGAACTCGAAAATTTACTTACCTGGTCATTGGTCATTTGCAAAATTATTTTGTTAAAACATATTCTGATTGCACACACAAGAACTCTGAAGTTGACGTCAAAAAGATGCTTGAGTTTCTGATTTACAATATCTATGTGGATTTTGGAGACCAGGTCTTCCAACAATCTTTAAGAATTCCCATGGGAACCATTGCGCTCCGTTATTAGCAGACCTATTTTTATATTCATATGATGCAGAATTTATGCAAAATCTTATGCGTGAAAAGAAGAGAACTCGACATTCAGAAATATCGATGACGTATTGTCAATTAACAATGGAAATTCCCATTCTTGCGTCGATACGATATATCCCGGTGAGCTTGAGATAAAAGATACCACAGAGTCTGACACATCTGTTTCATACTTGGATATTTTACTTGAAAAAGACGTTAATGGTAACCTAACAGCCAAGTTATATGATAAACGTGACGACTTTAACTTCTATTGTCAACGTCCCTTACTTATGAAGCCATATGCTGTACATTCATCACCTGCATACGGAGTGTATATATCTCAGTTGATTGGATACGCAAAAGCATGAACAATTTCTAAAACGAGGTAAATTATTGACAGCAAGTTGATGAAACAAGAATCATCAATAGTCTCGTTTAAAGTCATCATTTCCTAAGTTCTATGGTCGATACAATGACCTTGTCAGCAAATACAATTTATCATTGAATTAAATGCTGACTGACGTTTTTCATACCAATTTTTAGTCCATTGTTTATACACTGAATTAACGACGGATTTTTCCCGTTATTTCACGATCATGACAATGATCACACGGCCGGTGTGACCGGTCAGCAGGGGATGTTCACTCCTCCAGGGCACCTGATCCAACCTCCGATATTTTGGAGCTCCGTGTTTGCTCTACTCCTATTTTGTATTGCTTTATGGATTTTGATATTAAATACTGTTTGCTATCTCTATATCCTTCCCTGGACCAACCTTGCATGGATGATTCCTCTGATGTCCCGTTCAAACACGAGTTTAATTCGCATCAAATTAATGCGACAGCTAATGCAAAGTAAAGTAATGCGGATTAAAATTCTACTTTACAGTAAAGCGAAAGGCTATTCGGACGTCATTTACAAATCACGTCACCTTATATAGAAGCATATGCATTTGACATAATGTTACAATGTCTGTACACACATTTCAGTGATTAACACTATTTTCCTCAGTTTTTCACTCAATTATAGCACAAGTATTAAAAGCTGACCATGTTGCATTTGACTTAATTTTGCCATAACAGATACCTCAAAATTGAAATCGAATTACCTTCTCTTAACGTTCAAACGGAGCTTATGCTAAGTAATTTAATATGCAGTAAATTAATTTGAAGTAAACAAATTTGCATTAACTAACAATGCATGTGAACGTGGTTCAGATTTTATCCGCATTCACTTACGTTTAATACAAATTAAACTCTCCAATCTCATTCAAAGGTCTCTGTGATCTACTTATAGTATTTTATAGCTATATTGAAATACCCCTTCAGTCCTTACTGGCTAAGAATCATCAATCTTTGACAGTTGGTGCATTTTGGGTCTTATGATACTCAGAGCTTAAGACTTCAAATATAAGGGATAGATTGTACAGTTTATCAGAAGAGCGATTAAAGGCCCTTAGGCTTCTTGTTACGTAACTTTAACCCTACCTGGACCAAACTTGCATGGCTGATACATCTAAGGATGGATACAACCAATCTTGCTTCGGATGCTCGATTTGATCTACATTTTCCAGATGAGTGACCAGGATAATGTATACTAGTCAGCATTTCTAAGTCCCCAGGCAAGTTTTTGCTTTACACAGCTCTTATATTGAATTATTTTAACAATTTAATTTAATAAGTATACATGATAAAAAAGTAACAAAATAATTTTTCTCACTTTACTTATTTTATTGAAGCACTTTGACACAATAGGCAGAAACGTTAAGGCACCCTAGAATTAAAAATTTGCAACGTTAAATACTGCATTATCCTTCATTTAAACGAATTCGCAGCAAGACAACCGTTCCTCAAAGTTTCACACAATTTAAGAAATAAAATTTTATTGAATGTTTTTCTATGTGGAGACTAGGTCGTCCTTGGGTTCCGCTAGACTCTGCTGCTGGAAAAGATGTCTCACACTCCGGTCTATCTTCTTCCACACATGTAAGTTAGGGTTGAGATTAGGATGACAAGGCGGGTTACCGAAAGTGTCTGTGCCTTGCTGACAATAGTTACAAAATGTCTCATTACATGTATGCCCCACTCCTCCAGTTTGAAATTGATAGGAGGCCACTCCCGGTTCCGGTTCCATTGATTTTTCCGATTTAACTCTAAGATGATTCTGTTGTTTTTGTTACAAATCCAGCGATTTCTAATGAATAAAAGGAATTCAGGTTTTATAGGTTTTTCGGGCAGTAATTATAAATTTTTAAGTAAAATAAATCAAACAGTGAAAGCAAACAAAAGTATCGTTAGCTACGACCAGCTTCGGCCATTTCAACTTCACTTTCATTTTTTTGTGTGGACATAAACCTCATTTAAATCAAACTTTTTTTCTGTTTTTCGTTATCAATTAAAGATGGAGAACACATGGAAAAATATGAAGAATACACCCGAAAGCATATGGAACTCGAGCTTCATGCTTTTTAATAAAAACGGTCACGGTCGAGTAATTACACATTCGATTACAATTTTTTTTGCCTTGACAGGTAAGTATTGCAAATATAGAGCAAAATTGCAAGCAACTAGTACATTGACGTTTAGGTTTTGAACTTTTTGAAAAATTAAAAGTGGGGACTTAGAAATTTTGACATGCATATTTGGAGTAGCTCTATAAATTCATTTTATGACCGATTATAATTTTAATCGTATGGTTGATGCTTCTAAGGATGGACACTATCATCCTTGCTTCGGATGTAGAAAATAAAAGACATTATCTCGATTAGTTAACAGGAGAAAGATTTTGGAGCAGGTTAATTCCCAATGAATTATAAGATCTTCTTAAACAAAACATGCATGAATATTGTTTTTAGAATGCATACTAACTATATATAAACAAAATTTTATTTGTGTTATTTAAACTGATAACATTCGTCAGGGTGAGTTTTATCTAATCTTTGATTATGTTTGTTTTTTCTCAATTTACTGGGATCCGTACGACACATAATCCTTTGCATAAATGATATATCTTAGGATGAGCAATGCTGGACTTGCTCTGGATGCTGGATTCGACCTACATTTTCTAGATTAGTGACCAGGTTTAAGTTTATGTGTAGGTCAATGACCAAAAAACTATAAGGCCTATCTAAATCAAACTTGCATTGATATTGCATCTAGAGATAAATGCTAGCAAAATTTGCTTCAGGATTTGAATTACATTTCCTCGATGTGATACTGGTTTGAATGGTTAGATAAATCCATTCCCAAGTAATTGCAAGCTTTATCAGATGAAATTGCATACATATTGGGATGTACACTAATAGATAAATATGAGACTAATTTGCTTTAAAGACAATATAAATTGAGGGGACCAATTTAATCTCTGATAACCTAATATGTTTTGTGAAACTCTATAGTTTAATGGACCAATTTGGTATATCTGCATGAAGTAGTACAAAATTAGCATTGATCACTTGCTAACCAAAGAAAATTTGACATTTTTTGCACTTATTGCTTTGCATTATAGATCCTCCGACTGTGTCCAGTTTGACAAATAAAGACATTATAGAAAGAGGTGACCTATCTGTCATGTGTTCTGTCACCAATGGAAATCCTTCCCAAACCACTGTCTACTGGATCAAGACAGGTGACTCTGGATTTAGACAGAATGGTACTGAACTACGGATACATAGAATACAGAGAGGCATGGCTGGTACCTACACGTGTACAGCACAAAACAGTTACAGCATTGGAGGCACGGGATCAAGCAGTCAGTCCATGACTGTCAATGTATTCTGTAAGTTATTGTTTAGGAGCAATTTCACAAACACGTAGTTAAAAAGAAAAAGGAACCAAAGCGGAAAAGATTAAACATTTTTTACGTTCGAATAAAGAAGGGACTTATTATAACACCGAAACTAGCAATATCTATCAATTTGGCACTGCTCCCTAAGTCGCTTTTTATTTTAATGTAAAGATCAATATTGATAAAAATATTTTAATACTTGTTTTAATTGTAAAACAATCAAAATGTTATTTTAAAAATAGCATTGAATGTATGCTTTGGAAATTTGTTAAATTGTAAGTATCGTTCAATTATTTTAATTATTCTTTTGTAATCAATCTTTTGTATCTGTCATATTTTGAAGTACTCATAAAAACAGGAGAAATTGTTAATTTTTGGTATTTTAAAATGACCCGATTGGTAGCAAGATGGTAGAATTTTGTGTTTTTCTTACATATCATGTACAATATAGTATTGCTTATCATACTTGTATTTCAATTTGAGCAAAAAGTCTAATGTAGTATTTGTATAACTTGCTTTAAAGTGCGAATAATTGGCACTTTCCTATATGATCCTATAGTAGTAGTACCCTTCTTTGAGAGGGTCCCTTAATATTCCCTTAATATTATTGGATTAGGTCTTTCCACCTTTCTGTGGAAAGACCTATTGATACTTATTAGGTCTTTCCACCTTTCTGTACCTATTGATTTCCTTCTGTTTCTTTTTTTCCTTTTTTTATTATTTTTTATTAGGTCTTTCCACCTTTTTCTTTTTTTCTGTTTTTTTTTTCTTATTATTTTTTATTATTTTTCCGCCGTGTGATTTTGAGTTTCAAGATTTATCGTAAAGATTTTCAATTCATAAGAATGTACTCCGTAAAAGATTTTCGCAGTTGACCCTGCGTATATAAACTATGACCCCTTTCGGAGTTATTACCCCTTTCGCAAAAAAGCTTGTTATCGCTACTCCTCCGAAACCATAAACCGTAGAGAAATGAAACCTTCACTAATGTCTTTGACTAATTTAGTAGACACTTTATTGATTCATTGCGAAAGTATTCATTGACCCCTTCAATAAGTTATTGCCCCTGGAAGTTTTAGAATTTTACAAATAATTAAAAATTTTCAAAACGAGAAGACGTAGAGACATGGGACCAAATGCATAAGATTCATTGACCTTTGACCTTAAAATTCATTTAAAGGTCAAAGGTCAAGGTCATTCCAAAACTGAGAAATTTAGCTCTTTTTATATCTCTTTTGTCTTTTAACATATACTTAATGTCTATGCATCATTAATATGTACTTTTAAAACTGTTTCAAAGATTTTATTCTTGTCCCCTAACATGAACCCATTTAAAAGTTATTGCCCCTTGTGCGAAAAACCTTGTTATCGCTACTCCTCCGAAACTTTAGACCGTAGAGACACCAAACCTTCACTAATGTCTTAAGGGTCTTTAGACCTAACTTCACTGTATAGGTGCAAAAGAATCTGATGACCCCTTGTATGAGTTATTGCCCTTTAACTTCTTTATACTTACTATTAAACCTTGTATCTTGAAAACTATAAATGGTAGAAGCATGGGGCCAACTGCATTGTGACCCATGACCTTTGACCTTGAATATTTTGTCAAGGTCAAAGGTCAAGGTCATTGCAAAAATGAGAAATTAAGCTCTTTTTATATATCCTTTGTCTTTTAACATATGCAATCAGTCTTTGCATCATTAATATGTACACTTAAAACTATTTCAAAGATTTCATTCTTGTTCCCCAAGATAGACTCTATCAAAAGTTATTGCCCCTTATGCGAAAAACATTGTTATCACTACTACTTCAAAACTGTAGACCGTAGAGGCATGAAACCTTCACTTATGTCTTAAGGGTCTTTAGGCACACCTTCATAGTATAAGTACTAAAGGATCTAATGACCCCTTATATGAGTTATTGCCCTTTAACTTCTTTATACTTACTATTAAACCTTATATCTTGAAAACTATAAATGGTAGAAGCATGGGGTTAATTGCAATGTGTCCTTTGACCTTTGACCTTGAAAATTTTTTCAAGGTCAAAGGTCAAGGTCATTAAAAAAAATTTTTTTTTTTTTTTTTTTACATTTTCATTTTTTTTTTCAAGCCATTTCCCTTAAAATTAAATTTAGAGTGTAAAATATAAAACTATAAGAAATTTAAAAAGGTGGAAAGACCTCTTATTGTTCTATGAACAATAAGTCTCCTAGTTTTTTTTATTTTTTATTATTTTTCCGCCGTGTGATTTTGAATTTCAAGATTTATCGAAAAGATTTTAAGTTCATATGAATGTACTCCGTAAAAGATTTTTGCAGTTGACCCTGCGTATATGAACTTGACCCCTTTCGGAGTTATTACCCCTTTCGCAAAAAAGCTTGTTATCGCTACTCCTCCGAAACCATAAACCGTAGAGAAATGAAACCTTCACTAATGTCTTTGACTAATTTAGTAGACACTTCAATGATTCATTGCGAAAGTATATGTTGACCCTTCAATGAGTTATTGCCCCTGAAACTTTTTGAATTTTACAAATAATTTAGAATTTTCAAAACGAGAAGTCGTAGAGACATGGGACCAACTGCATAAGATTCATTGACCTTTGACCTTAAAATTCATGTAAAGGTCAAAGGTCAAGGTCATTCCAAAAATGAGAAAATTAGCTCTTTTTGTATCTCTTTTGTCTTTCAACATATACTTAATGTCTATGCATCATTAATATGTACTCTTAAAACTGTTTCAAAGATTTCATTCTTGTCCCCTAAGATTAACCCTTTTAAAAGTTATTGCCCCTTGTGCGAAAAACCTTGTTATCGCTACTCCTCCGAAACTGTAGACCCTAGAGACACCAAACCTTCACTAATGTCTTAAGGGTCTTTAGACCTAACTTCACTGTATAAGTGCAAAAGAATCTGATGACCCCTTATATGAGTTATTGCCCTTTAACTTCTTTATACTTACTATTAAACCTTGTATCTTGAAAACTATAAATGGTAGAAGCATGGGGTCAATTGCATTGTGACCCTTGACCTTTGACCTTGAATATTTTGTCAAGGTCAAAGGTCAAGGTCATTCCAAAAATGAGAAATTAAGCTCTTTTTATATCTCTTTTGTCTTTTAACATATGCAATCAGTCTTTGCATCATTAATATGTACTCTTAAATATATTTCATAGATTTGATTCTTGTTCCCCTATATTGACTCTTTCAAAAGTTATTGCCCCTTATGCGAAAAACATTGTTATCGCTACTACTTCAAAACCGTAGACGTAGAGGCATGAAACCCTCACTAATGTCTTAAGGGTCTTTAGGCTTAACTTCACTGTATAAGTACTAAAGGTTCTAATGACCCCTTATATGAGTTATTGCCCTTTAACTTCTTTGCACTTAATATTTAAACTTATAACTATAAAACTAAAAGTCAGAGGCATGGGGTCAATTGCAATGTGACCCTTGAGCTTTGACCTTGAAGATCTGATCAAGGTCAAAGGTCAAGGTCATTTCAAATTTTTTTTTTAAAATTTTCATTTTCTTTTTTTAAGCCATTTTCCTTAAAATTAAATAATAGAGTGAAATATAAAACTATAAGAAATTTAAAAAGGTGGAAAGACCTCTTATTGTTCTGTGAACAATAAGTCTCCTATTAGGTCTTTCCACCTTTCTGTGGAAAGACCTATTGAAATATCTTCTGTTTATTATTATTTATTATTTTTTTTCCGCTGATTTTTTGTTTCGACATTTATCGAAAAAAAATTTTGTTAATCGTAAAGGTCATTTAAAAGTTATGAACAAATTTGACCCAACGCATATGAACTATGACCCCTTTCAAAGTTATTGCCCCTTTCGCAAGAAATGCTTGTTATCGCTACTCCTCCGAAACCGTAAACCACAGAGGTATGAAACCTTCACTAAAGTCTTTGACTAATTGAGAGGACTCTTCTATTCATTGTGAAAGTATTCGTTGACCCGTTCAATGAGTAATTGCCCCTGAAACTTTTTGAATTTTACAAATAATTAAATATTTTCAAAATGAAAAGTCCTAGAGACATAGGACCAACTGCATAAGATTCATTGACCTTTGATCTTGAAATTCATGTAAAGGTCAAAGGTCAAGGTCATTGAAAAATAAGAAATTGAGCTTTTTTAATCTTTTTTGTCTTTTAACATATACAAATGTCTTTGCATCATTAATATGTACTCTTAAAACTATTTCACTTGTCCCTTAAAATTGACCCTATTTAAAAGTTATTGCCCTTTGTGCGAAAAACCTTGTTATCGCTACTACTCCGAAACCGTAAACCGTAGAAATATGAAACCTTCACTAAGTCTTCGACTAATTGAGAGGACTCTGGAATCTATTCATTGCAAAAGTCTTCGTTGACTTCTTCAATGAGTTATTGCCCCTGAAACTTTTTGAATTCTAGAAATAATTAAAAATTTTCAAAACGAGAAGTGATAGAGACATGGGACCAACTGCATAAGATTCATTGACCTTTGACCTTAAAATTCATGTAAAGGTCAAAGGTCAAGGTCATTCCAAAAATAAGACATTAAGCTCTTTTTATATCTCTTTTGTCTTTCAACATATACTTAATGTCTTTGCATCATTAATATGTACTCTTAAAACTATTTCAAATATATCATTCTTGTCCCCTAAGATTAACCGTTTTAAAAGTTATTGCCCCTTTTGCGAAAAACATTGTTATCGCTACTCCTCCGCAACTGTAGACCCTACAGACACCAAACCTTCACTAATGTCTTAAGGGTCTTTAGGCCTAACTTCACTGTATACGTGCAAAAGGATCTGATGACCCCTTATATGAGTTATTGCCCTTTAAGTTCTTTTGTACTTACTATTAAACCTTATAACTTGAAAACTGTAAGTCATAGAAGCATGGGGGCAACTGCATTGTGACCCTTGACCTTTGACCTTGAACATTTTTCAAGGTCAAATGTCAAGGTCATTCATTTTTTTTTTAATTTTCATTTTTTC